ATAAAATAATCATAACTAGGATACGTATTGAATCCTACGATAATTTTAGGTAAACACTGGGCCGCCCAAAAAAAGGAACAGAATAGAATGAATGGATGGATGAATAAATAAATAATCTAAAAATTAAAACAAAAAAATCATGAAATAATTAAAATATTACAATCCATTGAGAAAAAAAAAATTAAAATCAAAATAAAATCCAAAATCAAATAATTCCATTTGACCACTGGTGACTGTTGCCCACCCCAGACGGTCGACAGACTTGTTCTAGAGTCCAGACCCTCATCTCTGTCAACCCTTCTGCCCATCCATGATCATTCTCATGCCCCCCGGTCCACACTGCCATTCCTGCTTTAGTGCAGGCTGGCACTGGCCAATCTTTCCCTTCATCTCATGGAGTCTCATCCCCGCCCGGTTGGTTTCAAACCTGCCATGAACTACTGCTCTCTGACGGACTTTTTGTCCTCACACTACGACTACAACCTACCTCTCCATACACCATCAAATCCACCCCCCCTTTCCCCCATCCCAGTCATCCATTGTACTCCGTAGTCCGGGCCATTTGATTAAACCGGGCTGTGGAGAGCTTTGGGCTCAATTCTTAAATTGATATCTCCCTCACCTCCCTCCTCTCAAACCTCCCCCAACTATCGATCATCTGTCGCATCACATATATCTTGATACTTGCTCTTCCAACTCTCGGAGCCCTTATATCTATCACATCCTTTCCTCCTCCTCTCCATCTCTATCTTCTCAACCATTCCACATCCGAAACCTTGTCTTACCTCCTATACTTCTTGATCTCTCCTTCTCCTTATCTCCTTATCGCATATCACATCACACTACCAAGCCCCCCTCTCTTTACTCCATCAAATTCGCCGATTCCGCACGGCACATCACGGGATCAATCTTGATTTACCAGTTAGTCATCTCTACCCACTTGTTCTGAGTTGTCAGCTTCTCCTTGTCATCAAGCACTAACTCACGACTCGGATAGAGAACTGCCCTCCTAAGCCCCCAGAGTCATTTGGTACTGATAGCAGCTCTTTTCCTGCCTCATCTCACGTGAGAAACGGCAACACTCAAAAGAGGATTATCTTCCAATATGGCTGTCAATATGGCCGACGAGGAACTCTTCAAACGGGCCATCTCTGGGTATCGGGACGCTTTCTTGGATCGGCATTCGCACCTCCCGGAAGCAGAGCGCAACGAACTTTGGAGTGAGCAATTAAATCAGTTCATGCCCACCACAGCCGCTGTATCTTCCCCCAGCTACCTCCCGGTTTCTGGTTCTGGCACCCTTCACAATGATGGTTCATCTCTCGAGAAACCTGGGAAACGGACTCGACAGGATACTCCGCGGACTCTACCTGGTTCTGGTCTTCCTCCGACGAAACGACGAGTCACCGTATGTGATCTATCTTGGTCTTCTGCTCCCGCCTGTTTTCCACCTCTCCGTTCTTAACCCATCCTGTGTCCCTGTTGCGCTACTCCATCCTTTCTCACTTTCTTCTCTGCTCTCCCGCCAACAGTCCCTGGATTGACACTTGGCAGACTCCGGAACCTCCGGTGACCGTTGACTTGACGCGCGATCTGTCTCATGCGTCCTCGCCAGCTGCTCCTCAGACGATCCGGAAGCTATCTAGATCGAATTCTCGGAAGGAGAACTACTCGGGCTTGGGCACCTCTCGGCACACGGCTATGGTCCGCTCGCAGAGTCAGCAGACTCCGGTCTCCCATCGACCCTCGCTGGCCTCACCCCTGACGGGACATCGACACTCCTATGGACCCCAACGCATCCATCGTCGCCTCGACCATGTCAACGAATATTCCCCGTCCGAATATGCAAAACAATACTTGGATGAATACCAGGCTCAAGGCGGAGTCTCCGCACTTTCGATGGCGCTTGCTACGGATGCCACGGCGACTGGAGTTCAACCCTCGAATCCATCATTCGTCCCGCAATATCACGGACAATCGGATCTGGTTCCCAACCTGACTGGGCTCGGGAGACCATCGTTGGTTGACCAACCGGCCCAACCGGTGTCGGCCGCAGTGGAGATGAGTAGAACCCCAACTACCGACTCACTGTGCGGAGGTATGGGGATGATGAGATTTGATTCTTCGGGACCACATCTCAATCCAAACTGCTCTTTTCCTTTCCCATCCTCAGACTTCATTCCCGCCACGTCCCCTATGAAAGTTCCATTTACAAACCCCTTCACATCCGCGCAGCGCGATATGGATCATGTCTCGTTCCCTTTGACTGAATCTACTGCCCCGTCCTTCTCCTGCTCTGCACCCCCTGCTACATCCTTTGCACCGCCCGTGTCCACTCTTTCTTCGTCACCGGCAACGGAGATGAAGCATTCCATGTCTTCCGACAGTAGCAGCTCGTCTCTGTCTCAACCCTCAAGAGCGGCTCGGAGGACCCAAGAACAAATTGTTCAGGGCACCAGACCCATTGCCCCGAAAGTGGGATCGCAGAGCATGTCTCCGCCTAAGGCGGCCGACCAGACCAAGATGATACGTATCTCATCCTCTGATGGTACTTCCAAAGAGGTCGCAGCCATTCCCAAGGCCTCGATCCAGCGGCCCCCGCGCCAAAAGACATATTGCTCTATGTGCAACGACCAGCCCGATGGGTTTCACGGAGAGCACGAGCTGCGACGTCACATTGAGCGGGTCCACGCTGTGGTTCGTAAGGTTTGGGTCTGTGTTGATATCTCTCCTGGAAAGACTTTCTTGGCCAACTGTAAAGCTTGCCGAAATGGAAAGCGATATGGTGCTAACTACAACGCTGCTGCTCACTTGCGTCGGACCCACTTCAACCCCTGCCAGCGTGGCCGGGGCGGGCGTGGGAAAGATAGCGAGAAGCGCGGTGGCAAGGGCGGTGGTAACCTACCACCTATGGAAGTCCTTAAGCACTGGATGGTGCAGAAGGAGGAAGTAGTTCTTGAGAACGCTCAAAACCTTATTGACCAGGAAGCACTAGGTGATGATCTAGTTGCGGCACCACCCCCTGTTCCCGCAGAGGATATGATGAATGGGTTGCCCACAGTCTCCCCAGAAGACTTTCCGGTCCCAGGGCTGGAGTCAACATTGACGAATGGGTATGATGCATTGTCCGCCTTTCCTGTGATGGGCCTGGAACCGTCACTTGATGCCTCATGTTATTTCGATGCTCAGCCTTTAGTTCCTGAGATCGACTCGTATGTGTGACATTACGTTTCTCTTCGCTAGATTTCTGATTATTTCGCACATTTCTTGTTGATATATTCTTTGACACTTTCCTGTCTATTTTTACTTCTTCTCCCCCGAGGAGCTGTCTTATATTGCTTTTCACCGCTTAATTTTTTGCACATCATCATTTTATTCTTCGACTTTTTCTTCGATTCTTGGCTTCTTCAAACTTCTATATTCTTCTTTCACAGGCACTTTATCTTCTTCTTTCATCTTTCCATTCTACACTTCTTCTTTTCTTTTCTTCATATTTGGAATTCTCTTCCTTTCGAGACTACAGTGGGAGATAACCCGGACCTCTATGAAGCCTACCGGGCGATACGACATAATGTGTGATGATGAACAGTGACCTCAGCCAGACTCAAAGTTTAACAATATATTCAATTGGAGATCATACTCGAAAGCGACGGAAGCCCATTTTGGTCCCCCAACGGGGATAGGATGGAATGTCTGCGCAGCGGCTTCTACAACTGCTACTCCGTGCCAACTAGCTACTTATATGGCACTTTCCTACTAATTAGCTTACTCTTGACTATCTCCGAGAGAATTTACAGGGCGTAGATTTCAAGGCGGTGCATACCCTGCGCGAGTTAGTGATCCTCGTGGTATGGTATTTTCACTTACCTCGAGGTGGTACTATACTACTTTACACCTTTAGATCGACTGGGCTTGACTTGGTTGGATTGGTTTGCAGTCAGGTTCACCTGGATATGACCACTGACCTCTGACATGACCCCCTGATAATAATGAGAAGGGCTCTGAAATCCTCCGACGCGGGGAACCATAGCACATGCTTTGTACCGCGCCAGCAATCTGGGACTAACTTGCAACACCAAATCAGTCACATGGTGTATCTATATTAAGTTCACTTTCTTGTGTGGTGATACCTTTCGGGAACTGAATGACACAATATTTAATCTCTGCCTCCTCTTTCAGGAGTGTGCTTCCATAAGGATACCTTTTAATACTGACTCTGCAGATAAGTGTACTAACAATTATAAAGGACGATTTTAAGATACTAAAGCTTAATGAACTTGACTTATTCAACTTGCACAATCCCTGAGATCCAGTCTTTTAATATATATTAGGTAGACATTCGAACTTTACCCTTGTATTCCAGCCATTCTGGATTACCCCTTTCCCACCAGGAAAGGCGACCGTACCACACAATTAGGAATGTCACGAATACTCATTCGCTGAACCTTTGTCTTTCGTGTTACAAAATATGACAATAGAGCACTGATAGAATATCTGTCCACCATTTCTGTGTTTGTGATTAGTTGTAAGCGTATATTGGCTTTCCGTGCAAAAGTTCGTGATTCTGTGACTGAGATATACCATATCGGTCTATTAACTTCCCAGAATAGTGGTATGTCATCGTTATCATTAGAACGCTTCAGTCTCCTACTACGCTTAAACGCTGGTCTAAGTTTCTCTCGCTTATAGACTGATTTGGAGAGGATTTGAGGTAAGTTCACGTGGCACGATAATACTTATCCACTATTAGACTGGTAAAGAGGAGGAAAAAAAAAAAAAAAAAAAAAAAAAAAAAAAAGAGAAAAAAAAAAAAAAAAAAAAAAAGAACCAACAATAATAATAAGAGTAATAATAAGTGTAATAATAATAACCAAGCCAAGGATTGAAGGACGTCAAGCACAAATATATATGATATTCCAAAGTGATCTCTGCATACTCTATTCATTCATTCATTCATCCTGTTTGAATGCCTATCTAACCCAACAACTTCTTGTACACGCCTACTCCGTCTTCAGGACGGCCACGCTCAGATTTGGCAGACTGAAATCAAACACACCGTTGGCGCCTGCCGTCACGGTGGAGGTCTTCTTATCGACAATATCAGCAACTCCCACTTCGTTCATACCCAGTGGATCTGCGGCGGTGAGCACAGTGAGGCTCGCACTGGTACCGGCCTTGACACCATCAAAGGTAAGAGAGACGGGCACATCAGCGGTGCTATTGTAAACGGCGGCCTTGAAGATATGAGAGTTGCTCGTGTTGTCAACACCGGCGACGTAGTAGAGAGGTCCGAAGCTGGAGTTTGATGTTGTGGGGTGTGTGTGTGTGAAGGAGTTGTGGGAGAAGAGCTGTTTTTGGCGTCAGTTAAAGTCCTAAGCCATGACAGGGAAATGGGTGTATTTGTATATACATACATCGTAAAGGTGCCAGCTGGTCGAACGCGCCGTCTCATCTGGGTTCGAGTTGAAAGCGAGGAAGGTAGGGGACCATTGGTAGTTGTCGAGGTTCATCATGAAGGGGGCCTGTGACGTACATTAGTTAGTTGATCCTACTGTGAGGGAGAAGTTGGGGGTATCTCGATGATACTTACGTATGTTGTTCCGAGGACTTTGTCTGCGTTTCTTTCGGCACCGATGAGGAAGACTCCTTCTGCGACGCTACCGATCCACCATGGGTACTGCGAGAAATGGTTGGAGGTGCCCCAGACGATTTCGCGTCCGTTGAGCTGAATTGCCGCGATTTCGCCTGTGCGGATTTCAGAATTGTTAGTGAATGAGAAAAGGTGATTGGCTTGCTAAAGTGGTCTAGAGCCAGTACTTACCAAGGAGAATCGGATGGTCGGGGCTGTACTGGTCGAAGAAGTTGAACTTCTCGACAAAGTTGTCTGGCGTATCGTACAGGTGATAGTCACCGCCTGCATCGCCGGGGAAGTCGATTTCTACGGTGGATGCCAGGACGGTGATGTCTGGGTACTTCTCCTTGATGGCGTCGTAGAAGGCCTGGAAGCGGTAGGATTTGTATGAATCCAATCCGTCGTTTAGGTTATCTTCGTTGCCGACTTCGACATACTTGACTGTCCATGGGTCTGGGTGACCGAGGGATGCACGGAGGGCACCATATTCGGTATCGACGGAGCCGGTGAGGAATTCTAGCTCGTCCAGGGCATCTTGCACGTATACACCAAGCTCGGATTCGGGAATTGCGTCGCCGTTCAGTGCGAATCCACCCCATACGGCAAGGACTGCAGACTTGTTAGAGGAGTCATGACTTGTGGTGATAAGCGACTTACTGGGCTCGACTCCAAGGTCTTCACACCATTCCATGTACTCGACGAGCCCTAATCCGTGGGTTTCTTGATAGGACCAGGTTGTTGCACGGCCTGGGCGGTCCTTGAGAGGTCCAATGGTTTCGTTCCATTTCCATCTGCCATCAAGGGTATCGCCCTCGAGGTTGTTGCCACCCGGGAACCGCAGGAATTTCTGATTTGTTAGCAATACCCTTTTATTGGATAGAACCATATTGACATACAGGTCCGAAGTCGGCCATCGCTTGCATCAAATCCCTGCGAAGCCCATTGGGACGGTCATTATAGGTAGGAGGGAACAGGCTGATTAGGTTGAAGTCAAGAGAGCCATCAACGGTGTTCTACACAGTCAGTAGGGGTGAATCTACCGGTCACTAAGGTATCCACTCACAGAAGCATCGAAGGTAATAGAGAACGTATTCTCGGTGTTTGAGGCAGCCTTGGTGGGGTCAAAGTAAAGTTATGCTGTGTCCACTCGCCACGAGCACTCTTGGACACCATGACAGCACTGGCATATACCTCGCCAGTCTTATTGGACTGGAGGGAAGCTGTGAATGTTCCGTTGTAGGCACCCTTCACGTAGAAGGAGCCGGTGTACGTCTGCTCTCTCACGTCGATACCCCACCAACCCAAGTTGGTAAGACCGGCCTTTCCTCTCGTTCCTTTGACATTGACTGACGTTGGCAGTGCAGATGACAGGGGTTGACTGAGGTTCTTTAGAGACAGCGCCGATCCCTCGACTGGGATCCAAGCATCCAATGTGGAAGGGTATTTCTCGCCTCCCTGGAACGCACGATTGCGAATCAGCTCCGCATACAGACCCCCATCACCACAGTAGTTGATTTCCTACATAATTATCAGCCACTATATCCGATTGAACCCACTCGCGGTGGGGACCCTACCTCTTCCATGATACCATATTGTAAACCGCTAGTGGCATTACCGCCAGACGATGCAACGGAGATCTCAACCGCTGCACCGCAGGCTGCCAGGAAGGGCAGAAGGAAATATTTGCGTAGCATAGTGGCTTCTCCCCTACAAGGGCGATCGGTACATGCACTCTGCCGATCTTATTCCCGTCCAGTTCTTGACCCCGGCCAGTGAACCCCAGACAATTTATATCTGTTTTCTATCTCCGACCCCAACGGAGTCTACTCCATGACACATACCGTTTCCCGGCAATTGCAGACATGCCGAAGAGAGTCTGCTCGCTAAAAGACAGTATTCCCTGTGGAGTAGGACCATGACATTTGAGGGATTGAGGAACAAGACTTCCGCTTCTGGTAAAAGTCCTTGAGGGGTATGCAGGTAGACAATGAAGTCACAGCTTCATGCAGGACGATGGTTTGACATTTTGCCGGATTGCATGATAGCGTGTCGAGGAGCGACCATTGAGCCAGCATGCATTTTCAAGGAATCTAGCCCCCTCGGCGGGTAAAATCAATAACATGTTTCGTCCGTGTATACATCGTATCATGTATTATTAGGCTTCATGACTTGTATCCAAAGACACCCGCTCCTTGAAACACTGAAGTGGAGAGAATAAAAATGCGGAGGTCCCCCGCATCACAGAAATCATTGCTGTTGTGATCGTCTCACTCGTGCCCAAAAATGGGCATAGGATGCTGCATTGCACGGAGATTATTTTTCCGTCTTCAACCGCAGGCTATTATTGCCATCAGGGTTGCATTGAATTAATTAATGTTGATGCCTGGCGGTTCTGCCGACATTTCTCCGGGCTATTTAACAGAGCGCCATTCGATTCCGGCCCATCTGGAGACCTCAAACGAGGCAGTGGTCGATGTTGTCATCGAGTTGAGATGTGCCTGAGGGCATTGAGAGCTTTGATCCTATGACGTCTCGCTGGTAACGCCATTCACTTCGCCTCCGAAAACCGCCATGAGTATTGGGAGCCAGCGTGTCTCGTAACGAATTCCACGTCCGCCCTTTGCATCCTCAGGTGACTCCTCAACCGATGATTGAGGAAGATGTTCGGTCGCGGGCATACAACAGGTCCCTAACCTAGTTATCTGATCGATTGCCTTGTTAAACCTCCTTACCTGACTGCTATCAGGATAGATGGATGTGAAGACATTGATATACTGTGGGCAAGATGAGAGGCTGAGGTTAATGTGTGGGTGGCCAATCGGATGAGCCCGTGACACCCTTATATCCAACCTCTCACTGGCTCTTGTCTTCAAGAATCTAAACATCTTAACCTGTTGGCATAATACCATCTCCTGTTACACTTTCAAGCTAGGTGGGCACAAGGTTTCTGATGAGAAGAGATAGAAGGAAAATATAAAGGTCCAATTGAAGACTATCTCCGTACTGCAGATGGACATATTGCACTCCACGATCCACGAAGACAATCGATCGTAAAACAATGCTCCCTTCGAAGAAACACCGACGCAAGAAGGAAACAAAAGAAAAAGATCCGCAAGAAATGAAAAGATCATCGAACTGAAAGCGCCATCCAGCTAAAGCAAGTCTCTTCCCCAATCCAGCACTTTGTCCTGGAAGCCATTATCCCCAAGTAAGTAAACATGATTGATAAAAATCGGTACGGTCCACGTTGTCCAGGGGACAGACCGACAAGGTCAAAGGAAAGCGAAATAAGCGAACAGGGCTGTACGCCGAATCGCGACAGTTTCAGCGCCTCTCGGCGCCCGCACCCCAACCGGCTATCCCGCACGCAATGGGTAGGTATTATCGTATCATCGAGGTCATATACGGGTCGTGAAGCTTTAGCACATTTCGCAGCATTCGATACATTCCATACAGCATTCGCAACTCTCTTCACACAGGAAACAACAACAAAGGGTGGCCAAGCTAAAGGAAAGATGAGGATTAGCACCATGCACGAGCCGATACCCGAAGGAGTACTCACCAGGCACCAAGGCAGCCGTGACTTTTTTTCTCCTGCTGCTGTGGCGGCTGCTGTGGCGGCGGCTGCTGATATCCCATCTGTGGTACGATCGTTAGCTTGTCGCCCTGAGAGACGGTCCGGAGTCGCAACTTACGGGAGCTTGAGGTGCGTATTGTCCGGGAGGAGGACCCTGAGGAGGGTAACCACCGTACTGTTGGGGAGGGTACCCGCCCTGAGGAGGACCGTAGTTACCGGGAGGAGGACCGTAGCTGTATCGAGGCCGGGAGTTAGAATGAATTGTGAATAACTTGGGCGGCACAAGTGTCGAGTCTTTCCTGTCCGGTCCGCTCACTCCACGGGGAAATCAATGGAGGACATCGGACAAGACCCTTAAAACCGCGCCTTGGCCAACTGCAACGCCGTAGCCTCCGACACTACCTGGATAGAGATCGCAAAGCCGGTCGCAAATATGGATATGAAAAATCGGGTGACATTGGAGTACTTACGCAGGCTGGGGAGGATAGGGGGGCTGTTGTTGGTAACTCATGATGATAGATATCTGTGGGCAGAACGACTGTCGCACCGGTCAGTATGGACTGATCAAATCAAGCTTCGAAATGATGGAATCGGTTGAAGAAGAAAATTAAGATGATGGGGAAGAGGCTCTCGTGGGCACGGTAAGGGCCAATGAAAGGGGGTAGAAGGTACCTAAGAAATGCCAAGTACGAACGGGTCGAACAAGAGACAAGAACTTGAAGGGGGGAAAAGGAAAGAGAGAGTAGAAAAGTGGAATTAAGAACCAACGGGGGAGAAAAGCTGACAAGGTCCGAAGCGGAGAAATTCAAAAGAGGGAATGGAATTGAAAACAGAGGAGAAGCCGATCGCCCCGTGTGGCTCAGATTGCACTCTTTAAAGATTGAGTCCAATCCAATTTAGAATTTCCAGAATTTCGTTGCCATTCTCACCCAAGAAATTTTCTCATCACTAAGCACTTCGTATACCCACTAGGAAGCAATCGATGTTTCCACCCGGACTCCCTTGTCCTCAACCGTCGGTCTCAGGCTCTCAGCTGCTTTTCCCGGCATTCCGCATTGGGGCTGGTGTGAATCCTGCCCGTGCAAACTTTGTTATCACTGACTGGCCCCCATTTTTAAACACCCCCCCCCCCCCCTTTTTTTGTGTGTCGTATTTGATTCAACAACAACAACAATCCTCGGTAGTTGAGACAGTCCGTAGCACAAACCCGTCAGACAATATAATTTACAATAATGAGCTGAGTTACTACTAGTACTACATAGTGCATTTACACAGCCCCCTTTCCACAGCCACAGCCCTACAGGGACCCCATCCTAGTAAGAGACCCGAGTTCCGAATTCCCCCTTCTTCCCCCACTAGCCACAACGCTCCCATTGGTTACGCAGACACTCAACATCCATCTCATTGGCTTATGTCCACCACCGTCATTTCCACTTCTGCGGACCCTTCCCCTCTGATAGGAGGCTTCGGAACAGACAAGCCACAGCCATCGTGTCATTTTTAATTAAAGAGTGGCTAGTCGATGCAACAACCGGTTTCAATGACATCTGTCAGAAGGCGCAGCACTCTTGCAGAAACCTTCATCAGAAGTTCTAGAACTTCTTGTAGATGACCATACGTAGGTTCCAGACTATATATATATATAAAGAACTTCTAAATTGAGTATTCGGTTGCCTGGAGATGTATTTAGTAAAGAATTTAGACAACCTCAATTAGGAGGCGATGAAAAAAAGCTTCAGTCTCTGTCACAGGTGATCTCATGATCAGAGTCGCGACGAACGGCTGATCTGCCCGAGGCAGAAACAATGATCAATTAAAACGGCGGCGTTCACGTGCCGTGGCAGCCATGCTCATGTATACTTACTTGGTTGGTTCCAGTTATAGGCCTCCATTCCATAAATTATCATAGTAGAAATGCTGTGAAACGGCTACAAAATAAATACACACAGGGGTAGCAAGGTACACACCAATGAACTGACCGTATCAAGGTAATGCGACCAGTAGAAAGGGTCTATATTATAAGGTCTCTGCCTCGGTTGTTGCTAATAACTTTGGTTTTATTGTAGGAACAGGCTGGGACTAACGAGGCTTATAGACATAAGACGAGCACATAGAGAAGACGCTATAGGTATAGAACCGACGAATCGTTGAACAAGTGAAAAATAAAAGTCTCATAGTTCTAATCTCGGCCCATGATAATGCTTCCGTGCATATGCGAACCAGTTCGCGATTCCAAGAACTAACATTGCGACGAGCACCACGGAAGTGTAGTCTACGATACCATTAGCATATCTTCCCTGTTAAAGAGCAGAAAATGAGAAAAGGTAGATAAAGGGAAGACAGCATACTCATATTTCCACCTATAGCTGGCAACACAGTTGGAAAGGAGAAAAAGACAGTCAACACAACAGCCCACGCAATCGTTACTATGTTGGCAATGTACCCAACTGTATTTATGAGTTTGAATGGTCTGGATGGAGGGAGATAATCGGTCGATCGACGACGATACAGAACAAGTGCGGAGGGAATGGCGTAGGAGATTTGTGCGACGACCACGGTTGTACTTATGAAGGCGTTGAATGCTGTTGCATTTTGTGTTAGCACGCAAGGTATAGACTAAAATATACACGAGTGTGACGAGGGTAGGGCTGTGATACCGTTGGAGGAAGCAACATAGACAACTCCCAGTAACAAAACGCACAGCCCATCCAGCAGGATCGCGTATACAGGCACTCCGAGAGTCGGGCTCACAGAGGCCAACTGGCTCGAGTAGAAGAGCGCTTCGTCTCGGGCAAAAGACCAAGTTAAGCGGGATGACGTTTGGTGCACTGCATTTAGGGCAACACAGGATACGGTGAGCATGCAGGCCATGAAGATCGTAGCTGCTACTGGGGAATGCGTGGCCTTTTCCCATATAAAGTAGATTGGGAAGCTGGATTCCATTGGTTCATGTTAGAACAACGCTACATTCTGGTAGACCTGAAAAAGTTGGGGCCGACGTACCCGGTTGGTGTTGTGAGGGAGAGCTCAATGTCCTTGTAACTGTAGATTATAGCGATAGAGAAGGGAAAGGCGGTTAAGAACCCCACGATAACAGTAATAATGACTGCCTTTGGGACAATTCGTTCGGGTTGAAGACATTCTTCGGCGAGATGGAGCGTTGCGTCGAGACCAGAAAGCATGAATTGAGGTGTTGAGAGGCCTGTCAAGAAGGAGATGCCGTCTGGCCACCCGCCGGAGCCGTTGGCGAATTGCGTCCAGACTTGCGAGGAGTCAAGTTGGATGGAGGAGCGAGCAGGACAGGTGATTGTTATGGCGAGAAACGTGGATATGGAAAGTAGGACTATTTCCGTTAGCCTTAGTCATTGACTAGGTGATGTTAGACGTAAGATAATCGGGCACATACAACCAAGGTTGTAGATCCACAATGTTTTGTTCGTGAGGAATATATTATAGAAAACCATAACAGCATTCATAGCTTGATACACGAGGAAATAATGCCAGGTTTCAGGTTGATATTCCGGCCGCCACCGGATTATAATGGCCATAAGCACATTAGCCGAGGACAGTGCAATGGATGCACTCAGCGTAATCCATGAAAACACAGCTGCGAGCCCACTGGAGTATGACAAACTGCGGCTCCAGCGACTTGTCGCCAGGATTGAGGTGAAATGATATTGCCCACCTGCAGTGGGGTAGACACTTGCAAGTTCAGCAAGTGTCAGTCCTGTACAGAGCATAATAGCGGCAACGAGAATGATTCCATAGAGCAAGGTCACCGCTCCGCCGGACTGGATGGCGATAGCGAAACTGGCCGCGATGGCAACCCAGCTGTTGGAGATGTTGTAACCTACCGCGATGATGCTGAGTATGCTGAAGTTTTGCTTCATCGGCGCATTGGGGAGGCCTGTTACGGCGACTTGGCCGTTGGAGAGTTCGATAGACGGAGTGGAGAGGTCATGATTGGGTTTGAGGTCTTGTTTGCTCATACTGTTATGTGAAGTGAGGTGATAAATTGTGCGGATCGTGTAAGGGTGTAGATATATTTCATTGCATTTCTCCCCATATTGTTCTACACTCGGCCATTGAAGCTTACGATTGATGGAGTTGACGTTAGGGTTTCTGGTCATGCGTTAGTAGCGATATCATACCCTATCAAGATAGTGAACGATACTCGGAACGCTTATCGAATTCCGAGCTGTGTTTATCAACGCTGCATTATCTTAGTTCTTGACAGGCAGAAGTGTTTTCCGGTCCCCCTAATGCGTGATTATAGCGGAATTACGGCGGAATTGATAGCGGATCGACGTTGAAGAAGCTTTGCAAAGTAGGTTGTGTGGCCATTGAGGCTTGAGGATATTTTGGCCTAATTGATACTTCCCCGCATTTCCAAACCCCGGATTAAGGTTCATTATCACTTGAGGTTTATCTATTGGTTCTCTTCTCCCTGGGAATGGGATTTCTCCGCATTGCGGAATAGATACGAGGTAGTGTTGCTATGGGTTAAAGTACGGTGGCAGTCGCCAATGACTGTCAGTAAGTTCTGGTAAGGCTGATCTGCCATAAAGTTTATGACATCTCTGTTTCTATTGCTGTAGACTTTCTGTTCATAAGGCTGCCGTTCACACCTAATATGTCTCCCAGCATGGAACTAATTCCGACACCTCGTCCAACTCCACCCCGTCTACCTCCATCGGACCTACCTTGACATTTTTCACCCCCGGTGTTGAGTTCAAGGCTCAAGGGTGACTAGCCCTATATAACTAGCCTTCCGAGATAGGTTTACGCATCATTCGCACGATGTAGCCCTTTGCCCTTTGTGAAAAATGCAGCGATGGTAGCCACAAACCCAAAGCAAGCCGAAGCCATAAAGGACAGTCGGATACCCCGGTAATATACCAGTCTAGCGACCATTTGGATATCCGGCGGTAGGTCATGTATAGCCGACACCGAGTGTCGGATATCATCGATAATCTGGAGTTGTACCACACATTGATCAGCTATCGCTCAACTAGCGCCTACTCGCAAATAAAGGGATGTTACTTTCCATTTGTCTGGTACTCCACTCAAGGCCTCATCGAGGCCTGAGCGCAATGTATTTTGTATAATCGTGGATGTGATCGCCACCCCCCAAACGGTGCCGAGTGAGCGCACCAGGTAGACCGTGGACGCCGACACAGCGTGGTCTGCGAATTGTTAGTTTAATAATCCATCTAGACAATGTTGGATTGTATTGTACGTACCAGAATGGTCGAATGCGGCCAAAAACGTAAACAAAATCCCGGGGTACACGATACCCTGGCCCAAGCTGGCCGGAATCACGTATGTGAAGTACTTCCAGCCAGCATCGTTGAATTGCAGTGACATCACTAGCAGGTTTCCGATGCACATCAGCAAAGCGCCCGCACGTACAAGTTGGGCCAGTTTCCCCCAACGGGACATGACAATGCCGGAGATAACACCACCCACGGGGGTCGCGAGCGACGGGATCGCCAGTCTCGCACCGGCCTTTGCGGCGGAGTCCAAGAGGATGACTTGGAATAGCAATGGGAGGGTAAAAAGGAACTACTAATGTTAGCTCTAGTTGCGAAAAAGCTGCCACACTACATACTGCATACGCCGCCATCCCGACACAGACATTCGAGACTTGGGTAGCAATAGGCAGGAGGCCTCGCAGCATTCTCGGGGGAATAAGCGGGATCGCAGACGTCTTTGTTTCAATAACCACAAAGGCACCTAAAAGGACCACACTTGCTACGAGTGAGAAAATCACCCATATGTTAGACCATGGCAAATCGTTTCCGCCCAAACTTAATCCAACCAGCTGGCTGGAGAGGCCCAGAATGAGCACGCATGCGCCGGAGAGATCGATTCGTTGCCAGATCGCTCGGAGGCCCTGGCCCGGTTCGATAAGGTCGGTTTTCCTGGGCAGATGAATGACCAGGTGACCTGTGATGAGTGCAAGTAGTCCAACGGGGGCCTGCATCAGAAAGCACCACCGCCACCCAATAGTGTCAACAATTGAACCCCCAAAGGATGCACCACAGATAGAACCAAAACCGTGCATAACATTTTGGAGGGCCTGATACATGCCGCGACGACGGAAAGGGATCAGATCCGAAT